TGGTACTTACTTCTTGGCAGCTGTGCTCAGCCGGCACCCCCGGAGCCTAGTGCCTCCCTCTCTAGCCTGGCTCCCGGTCCAGGTGGCCCAGACGTCCTGGAGCCCTGGCAGGACACAGAGACACAGTCCAGGCCTAGCTGAGCTGTCAGCATGTCCTTCCCCAGCCCTCCCTGGGCAAGGGTTGGGGGCGGGGCACCAGGGCCCACCCGGTGTCCTGGCAGAGGCAGCGGGAAACCGCCGGGTGCGCTGGGTGGGGGAGCACGGGACAGCAGGACTGGGGCGCAGTGCTTGGCCTGGAGATGAAAAGGCTTCGGGCGCTGCAGGCTGCGGGTGCTCACAGGCGGGTCCTGAGAGGGACAGAGGCTGGAGCTCCCGGTTCAGGAGCTCCCGCGCCTGGATCCCAGAGAGGCCAGGCAGAACTGAGAAGAAAGCAGATGGCGACCCAACAGGAAGCGGGCCTGGAGGGCCTTCTTGCTCACTGTGGGCTTAACATGGTTAAGGGGAGGGCGGGCATGTGGGCTCCCAGTGCTAGATAGTCAGAGTCCAGGGCTGAGGGAGCCGGAGGATGGGAATGAAAAGACCCAATATTGTCTTTCTGTAGAGACAGCAGATGTCCTCCTACAGCTAGCTGAGGGCAATAGTTTAGTGGACCCCCAGCCCTGCCTTCTTCCTACCAAGCTGCTCCACTCCTGTTTCTCCTGTAATAGATGGGCAGACACACTCAGAGCAAAGCTGCCTGGAAATGCAGCAGTTTCCACCTCTTCCAGGAAGCCCACCAGGACCACCTTCCCAAGAGCCACTGTTCTGAGGTCCTGAACCACTCACTGTGACCCTCCATTCCAAAGCCTTGGGGCAGCCTTTCTGCTGCTTCTGCCAGACCAGGTGCTGCCCAAGCCAGGGCAACCCTCTGCCTTCTCAGCCACTGCCATGTGCAGGTTGAGTACCAATGGTTCGGACCGGTCTCATTTGCTTCCCGGGTGCCCTTTCCACATCAGGAAGCCTTGGCATAGGAAAGCTGAGGGGATGCTGCTGATGCCAGCGTTCTTTTTCCAGTTTGGGAAGCCCAGGAGGAAGTCTATCTGCCCCCGAGCCCTGTCCTGCCCTGTACAGCACATCTGCCAGGGAGCACAGCAGAAGGTGTGCTGGGACGAGCCCTGTCTACACTCAACAAAAAGGTGAAGTTGGACCTGGGTGTGGAGCTCCAGCCCTCATAGCCTTCTCAGGGGTCCTGAGCACAGCCTGAGGTCAGGCTCCGGGCTTGGAGGCCCAGCCAGTTTACCAGAGATGGAGGCTGGGAGGAAGCATCTTGTACAGTAAGACCTCACTTTCACCCGAACTGCAATGTTAAAATGAATCTATGACCAGAACTGGATTCCAGAGGCCAAGTGTCTAATTGGCAAAAACAGGTTTCATGCCACCATCCCCTCGCTCAGTGCTTACTGAGAATTTACTACAAGCAAGAGTCTACAGTGCGTGTGTTCTGTCTTCTTGATAACTCCCAAGCCAAACAACACTGAGCCCATTTTACACACAAGGAAGACTGAGAGGCACATACATGCCACAAGCAACGGAGAGGAATTTAGTTCTACCGCTTCTGTTTTCTAGCATCACGCTCTATAGTTTACAGCTGGGGTTCCCAGGCTTTTGGAACTCACAGACCAATAATACTTCAGAAATGATTTTTGGGAACAAACACAGAACGTTATGCCAACTTTTTCTTTGGCCAAGGGCAGGAAAAGCAAATCTCCCAGCACCAGGATTTCACAAAAGGGCATTTGAACACAGAAAATGTGGCAAGGATGTAATCTTAGAATAAAGACAGCCTTCTAAGAAAGAGACTGTTGGCAATCTGACACTAAAATGCCCTGTGCTGTTTGTGTGTGTGAGTGTGTGTTTCATCTCAAGCAGAACTGGCCAAGATCTTGACACTGCAGGGTGTGTGAGCCTGCACTATCCCGGAGCTGCCTCCCCAAGAAAGAATAATGCCCTCGGACATAAGCAAATAAACTTCTGGAATTTTCCATCCCCTTCTGGCTATCTAGGTCCCCACCAAATAAGGCCTGAGGCTGATACATAAGCAGCTACATTCCCATTCTCATTCTGGTCCTTTGAGCCCACTGATATTTACTATCCCTTTGGGGAGGGTCAGCATACTCTCCCCAGCCCCCTTCTTTCTCTGGCATGGATCTCCTCTAGCTTGGCATTCCGGGGATTCCCAGGCCTTCTGCCTACTTCCCTGGTCCCCCTGGTGCCCAGGGTAGCAAATCTCCTCCTATCCCTGCCCCAAGTTGGTGCCTCCCCCTTGCTGAGGTCCCCAGTTCCTGGTTGATGTGTTACAGGAAGCAAAGTGGACCCCAGGCCTTCTAGTGTAAGCTCTTTAATGACAGATGTAATAAATGTGGGGGGTTCAGGTCTCTCTCCATCCTCACTTCCTGCACCTATGCCCACCGCTCCCCACACATGGAGGCCAGCTAGGTGATAGGGCAGAGCTTGACCTGGGGAACCCTTGGTTGGAATTCCAGCTCCACCATTTTCTTGCTGCAGAGAATTTGGCAAGTTACTTAACCTCTCCGTGCTTGAGTTTTCTTGTTTGCAAATGGGAATAAGAATGTTAGGTTAAGCCATGTGAAGCAGCCGAAATGTGACCCTGTTGGGCACACCAAAATGACAATTTCTTGTGGTTGAACAATCAGGGGTAAAGCCTTAAGTGTCAGAGCTAAGACTCTCACCAAGCGTGACCTCCTCCTCCAGGAAGCCCTCCCTAATACCCCAAGCTCAGTGAGGTCTCCCTTCTCACATCTTCCATGGTCGGGGCACATGTTAGTTCTTTCCTGTCACTAGTTTTATCCTCTAGTCCTGAGTGCGAGTGTGCCCTCACCTAGTGGAGCCCAACAAGGGCAAGATCAGGACACCTCTTCCTCCCCTGTCTCCCAGATGGCTAGCACACCTGATCATCTCCATCAGCATTTTACAGGGGGGAGATGGGAGACGCCTTCCCTCAACAGCCTGACTTATCTAATGGACATTTCTGTAGCCAAAGTTGGTTCTAGGTGATCATGAACAGGTGATGTGGCCAAATGAGGTTAAGTGGGATGCTAGGGGGGAAGGACTGGGAGGCCCCGACCAGCCAGCCAGTGGCAGCCGAATCAGAATCTTGGTTATCTTTTCCCAGTCCCCTCCCCGCTATTAGCTATCCCGGGTAGAACTGACACTTCTTGATCTGCTCTCTGCCCACCCTTGCATCGCTGCCGAAGTCCCTGCCAGTGGTCAGACTTGCTCTATATCCCCAGGGAGCTCAGTCCAGGAGGGGACACAGACTGCACTATCCATCAGGGCTTGGGCTGCTGGGAGCTCATGGGTCGTGGGAACTCAAAGGGGGACACGATCAAAATTTGGGTGGTTAGGAAAGGGTTCCTCAGGAGAAGATGTCAGGCCGTGGGTCACGGGGAGGCCCATCTGGGCCACCTGCGGGAAGCTGGGAGAGGACAAAGAAGCCTGAGGAAGGGAGCTGAGGGAGGTGGTCTTCCCCCCAGGCGGCTGGAACACTAGGGCAGGCCAGCTCCCAGCCAGTTACGAATACTCCTTCTCAAGGAGACCCAAGGACACTCAGGGATTAGGCCTCTCCGCATCTGTGCAGAGAACTGTCAGCACAGAGCTGCTCAAAAGTAGAAATGCCAGCCACCGGTGATGTCACCACCCAAGTCATTCCCTCCCCCACCCCAGGTCCTGTGGTCTGGTAACAGGCCAGAGCAGCCCCTGCCAGGCTCCCACCCTCCGCCCCTGCACCCTGCCTCCAGGGTTCCTGCTTCAGATGGAGAATGGGGGAGGTGCTCATAAGGGGCTAAGAATTCGAATTTAAAAATTATTTGAAGAAAAACTTCATGCCATTCTTCAGAGTTCGGGACCTTTTTGTCTCCCTCCCTGCCTGGCGTTGCGGAGGATCCTAGTCAGCTTGAACCCGGACTCCCCCTGGCCACCTCCTTCCTTCTCAGGCCCCTTCCATTTCTCTGAGCTCACTTCTGAGCTTGCTGTCTCAGGGTGCTGGAGAGTACACCTATACCTCAGGCTGAGCAAGCGGGGTTTGCCCTTCAGCCTGGACACTGCACACGGGGAGAGATGACACCCAGCTGACCTGGAGAGGGGGCAGCGGACCTGCAGGGGCGGTGCGGATACTGAGTGGAGCTGCGCCCCCCGCTACGCGGGTCCACACAGAAGGCGTCTCCACTGTGCAGGCTCACAGGGAGAAGGGTATCCAAAGCCAGCCCCGAGTGTCAAGCCCCAGAGGGGCTCGCCTGCACGCCGGCTCCGGGTTGCTCCTCTGGGAACCCCACTTCAGATCGGATGCATCCCGCAAGCGAGCGCCGCGTAGGGGGACGGGGTGCTGGTATACCACGTTGCTGGCTGCTGTAGCGCATTTCCTAGAAGTCTTACCTCGAAGGGCTGGGTCCCACCCGCGCGCTGTGTGTGCCCCGCGAGTGTCCCCCACACCCTCCTCGCACGGGGAAAGACCGGCGCAGGGCTCGCGCCCCCCGCCCGAGCCCCGGGAAAACCCTGGGAGCCGCCCCGGCGCCGTGCGTTTCCCGGAAACCCCCTCTCCAGGCGTGTTGCGGGAACGCAGGGCTCCGCATCCACGCGCGCCACGCCTCCCGTAGGGCTGGGGACCCGGGCGGGGAGGAGCAGAGCGGCGGGGACGCGGGAGCCCAGAGTTCGGAGCGGGAGCCGGGGACCCCGCCCCCCATCTGGAGGTGGGGAATCCACCACCGAAACCGAAGCCCAATGCTTGGGGGGCGCCCCAGCCCTGGGTCAAGAAAGGCCATTTGAGGGTGCAGGCGTGAGGCCGGAATCCACCTCGGCCCCCAAGGTCTGACGAGGGTCCACCTTGCGCCCCAGGCCGGGCCCGCCCCCCGGGCCCCTCCCCCCACACTCCTCGCGGCCCCCGGCCCTCGCCGCTGCCCCTTTAAGAAGACCAGGTAGGCAGGCCGGGCCTGGGAGCCGCTCCTATGGCAACCCGCGAGCCGCGGCGGCTTCATGAATATTCCGGGGCGCGGGAGCCCGGGCGCGGCCGGAGGGCGCTCCGGGGGAGGCGGCCGCTGATGTAAGCCCGGCGGGCTGCTGGCTCCGCTCCGCTGCGGCGGGAGCCCTG